AATTAAATTTCTTAGTACCTAAAAATGTAATATAAAGTACAAAAAAGAAGTATATAAAAAAAATCGGAATTGGATTGAAATATTTATTCAAAAATAAATACATATATTTATTTACTGCTAATAATGTACTTTTGTTACGTTTATTTAATATTTTTAAATTTTATTTTGTTCATTATATTTTATTTTTCATTTTTTTAAATATCTTTTTTATCAATTTCTAAATTACTGAATTTTCCAAATTTTATTTTTTTTTATTTTTTGATTATTTTGATTTGATTTAGCTTTCTGTTTTTATTAATGCTCATATTTTTCTAGGTTTCAAATATCAGCTGAAGAAGAAAATATTAAAAATCATCAAGATCGAATATGCAAAATATCAATAAGTCTTGAAGTAGAAGATGAATAATCTGGAAAACTAAACAAATTAATAAAATATATATGATTATAAGATATATAAAATTAATCAATTAAAAAATAAAATTTAAATTATTTTAAAGAAAAAAAGAAAAAATTATTATGAAAAATGGAAAAATTAAAGCAAATGTTAAAAATTATACAAAATTCAAAGTACTCTTCACATATAAAATTTAAAACTTGTAGAATTGAAACTTACAATTTCAGTATTTAAAGAAATTAAAAATAGATATTAAAAAATAAAAAAAAATGAAAAAAAAATTTAAAAGAATATAAATAAAAAATAAATAAATAATAAAAAATTATTTTAGAAAAATTTTAAAAAAATTTAAAAAAAATTCTACAGAAAAAAAAAATGAAAAATTAGTTTTAAATCTAAACAAAAATATTTTAAATATAATTTATTAAATATAATTTCATTTAGGATTATATATATTTTATTTATTTTATTAAACAATATATCAATGAAATTTTATATGAAAGAGAAAAACTCAAATATATAAAATTAAATTAATATATATATATATAATCAAAATTATCAGTCTTTTTTAAAATTAATTTTGAGAAACTACAAAAATTAATTTTGAGAAAAAAATTGTAATAAAAAATATGCTAATGAAAATAATTTTTCTTTGAATTTAAATATATTTTTGAATTATAATTTTCATTTCTAACTTTTTGAATAATAATAATGAAATAAATAAAAAAAGATTGTTTTTATTCCATAATATTAAAATTATTATTTTTGTTCATTAAATAATTAGTTTATTATGTCTTTTTTTCATTTATTGATTATTTTAAAACGATATTATAAAAATTCTTAGTTCGTTAAAAATGAAATCATGTTTTTTTTGTTTTTGTTAAATTTGTCATTCTCTCTTATTTTCATTAATGTTAATTAACAGCAGCTGTTAAGTTAATATTAATTACTTAAATTTTAAAAATTAAAACTAGTATTAATCAGAATTATATTTATGTTCAATATTTAAAAATTAAGAAAAAAAAAAAAAAAGAAGTTATTTTAAGTTAAAAGTAATTCGATATTTATGTACAAAATAATAAAGAATATTAAAGAATATTAAAAATATTAAAGAATAAGTTCTACATAAAAAATAATCAATATACTTTTTGTATAAACTATTATATTTTTAAACCAAATTTTACATAGACATTTAATATTATTTTATAATTATTTTAAAAAAATCTGTTCTCCATTGTTTTATAGAAAACAAATTTTTTTTTATTGTTGAATTTTATTAAAAACAAAATTAATGATTCATTTAGAAAAAAAATAAAAAAATCATTTTAAATTTAACAAAAAAAATTAAAAAATTCAAAATCAAAATATTATTTACATTATCTCGTATATTTTTTTTTTGCGTTTCTGTTTATTTTTAATTCTCTTTCTTTTTTTTCTTAATTTTCATTATAATGTCTTCTTGCTTAATTAATTTTAATCGCAAATTAAACGCAAAGAACACAAATTACACTTTCATATTACTAAAAAATTCTGAATAATTCAAAAATATATACAAATTATATTGTATATATATAATAAAATATATATAATAAAATGCGATATAATACATAAATAAATTAATTATTTATTTTATTTATTTATTTATTTATTTATTCATAAATTATTGAATTAATTTTAAGGTTAAGATTTTCGTATTTTTATTGATATATATATTACTCACATCAACAAATGAATAATAAAAATTGGCTGATTCATTTGTTCGATTATTAATTATTTTTTTTATGTATTATTTCATCTAACATAATTACATGTTTAAATTGTAACCATTTATATTTAATAAAATTTTAATTAAAATACATATTTAATTCATTATCTATAATTAGTTATTTATAATTACTTTTAAATAACAAGTATAAGGATGATTTTATGGATATGGATGATTTTTTTTAATATTATTTTAAAACGCTCAATATTATAAACATCTTGCTTGCGAATACTAATGAACTATAAAAAAAGAATTCATCATTAAACTAAATAAATGATAAAAATAAAATTAAATAATTAAATAGCTATATATAATATAGTTTTAATTTATATAACTATAAATAACTATATAATTCAATATCTTCAATATTCTATTACATAATATTTAATGAATTAATTGAATAATAGAAAATAAAATAGAAAACATATTTATACAATTGTTCGAATTATTTTCTCAATTATTTTATCATTTTTCATAATCTTTTTATTTTCTTTTTTCTTATTATTATAAATTGAAATAATTTATTAAATATTCTCAGATTTGGTAATTTATTTCTTTTTTTAAAAATAACTTTAAGATAGAATTTGATTGCGTTATACATAAATTCCTATTGATTTTAAATTCTCTAAACCTTTAAATTTTGTAGGTATTTATTTAGAAGATCTTTTGTTGCCAGGTAAAATTCAAATTACGTTTCTAAACATATTCTTAATATTTTTCACAATGAACATATATTTTTTTTTTAAATTCAATTTTGATGGAGATTTAAAAGATATAAATCGCATGATGACATGAATGTTAATGTTCAATTAAGAAAAGAAAAATAAAATGAAAGTAAAGAATTTAACGAGAATAAAACGAGAAATCGATCTACAGTATTGATAAAACAAAACCTGAAAAAGAAAAGGCAAGGAGGGTAAACAGAAGCAGAACGTTTCGTGATAGAAGAAAAGATATGCAATAAGGACTTGAAAATCAGTTGTATCTCTATACATAATTCTAAGCGGAAAAATGTAGTAATGCTGATATAATCATTCGATCGATATTCATTGGAAAGACAATGTATATATTTTCCAGATGACAAAATATTACTTAACATTCAATAATGCGTTGTAATTCATTTCATAATTTGGTTTATTATCTGAAACTATAATTATTATATGTGAATTCACTATAAGTGAAACTTATACTTATTCACTATAACACTTATTCACTATAAGTGAAATAATATTAATAATTAATCATTATAATTTACGAAACGATTATTAAAACTTAAATAAAAAATGTTTATCAATTATAAGGATAATCAAATCAATAATAATTTATAGATATATAAAAATATAAAAATAAAATAAAATAACTTAAATAATAAAACTTAGAAATAAACTATTCTGAAATATAGATTATTAGATTATAAAGAATAAATATTGTATAAAAAACATTAAATTACATAGTGTTTTTCATGAAATTAATATTGAAATTAATGAATAATAAATATTTTTTTAGAAAAAAAATTTTAGAAAAAAAAAATATTTATTTGAATAAAAGCTGGAAATATATATGATTAAAAAATGGTAATTTTTTCGCAATAAATATTTTAATATACTTCAGAAAGGTATAAAAGTCTGTCTAAAAATAAGGTGATTCAGTCGTTCGAAAAATATTCAAAGGTTCGGAATCCGTCTAGTAGACTCTTCATTTTTTTTTTTTTTTTTTTGCGAAATTCTAT